AAAAAGAGTTACAGTTAAGCAATTTTAATAATTAAAGGGGGAACATTTGATGTTACGAATGTCATTACCATTAAACTACTTACTATTCCAAGTAGTTCGCTACTAAGAACTAAATAAACAAGTTCACAAGAATACATTGTGCCTCAGCCATGTTTTCATATTGCTGTAGTTTAACATGCCTGCATATCGTCGCCTCAGAAAACGGATGACGAATGTGCAAAATCACGATTTTGGGATTTTGATGCAGATTTACTAAGTTGGACATGCTCTTTCGATTTCTGCAATCCATTTTTTTATATCTCCATTAGTTTTTGAGATATTTCGTGCGCATTTTGTCGTATGTTACATAATATTAATGATTGGGTATGCCTTTTGTTGTATGTGCTGAAAATGCGTCACATACGACAAATTCCCATACAAACGTACCTTTTTTTTAATCATAAAACGTTTGTCGTATGTGGCACATACCACAAATTCCCATACAAATGTAATCTTTTTTTAATCATAAAACATTTGTCGTATGTATCGCAAAACTTTGAACTTACGACAATTGGATGGTCCGCTACTATAACGATACAATTAAAATTGAAAATTAAACTAAGTAACTAATTTTAAAATTTTAAATTTTTAAATTTTAGCTTGCACTGAGTCTCCAATGAAATGAAAGAGATAAAAATGTACAAAAGACTGAATTTAAGTATTGTTTTTTGTTTTTATATAAAGAAAACGTATGTTCGTAACATATTTACAGCATAAGAGATGTACAGATTTTTTTTATTAAATACATGATTATGTTTTTGTTATGTTTTTTCTAATAAGTAATCATTATTTAATAAATATGTCTGTTTTTTTCATCAAATTATACCATCGTCGTTGAAATAGATACTTTACTATTGTCGTATGTTCTGTGGACAAAACAAAGTGGTGAGTAAACGCTACTTACGACAAATGTATACGGAATGAAAAGTAAATTTTCTCATTAACGTTAAGAGATATTAAATGTAAAAATATGGGAAATCAAAACTAATAACACCAACTACGTCTCCTTCAAAAGTTACAAAAATCTACCGTACAGTTTCGGATTAATTCGACCTTAAACTTCAAAGTCAATTTTCTCAAAACCGTGTTTTGTAACATTCGACATCCGTTTTCTGAGACGACGATATTTATGACTTACATCTCCTTAGGTTTTAATCAAACTTGCTGCCAGAATCAAGGAAGCAGTTATCATTTTTGTACAAGGGCAAAAAAAAGGATACAAGCACATAGAATCACTATGAAAAAAAAACCAGTTAAATAAAGGATTACCACATCACTTGCCATTCCAAGTCAGACAAACGAATGGAAATGACGTAAAGTAAACTCAAGATGAAGCCTAAGAACGCTTCGGCAGTAGGTAGCAAAAAATGTTATTCCAGATGGAAAAATACTTGTACAGACATACTCCTGCCTGAAGTTTAGAAATAAATGGTTTTATACCAGTTGTTTTTTGGTAAAGCCTACAGACTTCCCAAACACCACATGGTCGGTATAAATGATGAAAATTTAGTAGTAGTAGCTAGGCAGAAAGGTTGGTAGGCCAACAAACCGGCGAACCTAGTCTGGATTTAAAGACAAACTAAAAAAATAAAATAATTTCCACTAAATGTCTAATCCTATGTTGTACCAGCTGTGTTTGTATGTATATATATATATACATAAGTAAAAACATACGTAGAAATGTGCCTATTAGATTTCTTCTTGTATATTAAAAAGTCCACACGAAATCGTGTATACATAAGTACATATGTGCAATGTACATACATATATATTCAAAAGAACTGAAAAGAGAAAACAGTGAAGACTTTTATTCAAGCGTTTAGCAAGTGTGCGTTTGCATTACAAAGCTGTCTACTGGAGTCCTGTGCACACCTATCAATGCATGTATATATGTACACTAGGGTGGTAATAAAAAAGTTTAAAATGGTCAGCTCTCACCCCAAGCATTTTTCTAAATGAAAACACATTAAAAAGCCTAAGTTCGGGTGAAGCCGAAAATTAAATAAGTAGCCGGCGAAAGTATTAAATATAGTTTTCAACCTTTCTGAAAACTACAGTTACATGATAAGCAGAGTGGTTTTTGCCCTATTTCTAATGATGTCGATAGTATTTTCATTTAGTCTTAATGGGATAACCTTATGCAGTTATAACTGGGCGGTTGTACGCCCATTTTATAAAATTCCATAATAATGTTATTTATTTTTAAGGTATTGTTGTGAGATCGACTTTGAGTAGATATGCATCCTTAATCTAATCTATGTTTCTAAAATTTACCGTTATATTAAAAGTAGGCGTAATTTTAGTCCGAATTCAAAAATTTTCAACATATGGCAAGTACAATAACTGTACCGAATTTGGTATAAATCGATCAAACGGTTACCGAGATAAACATATGTGGGCGGTGCCATGCCCATTTTCTAAAATGTTTATGCAAACGAATTTTTTTTCTGAAGTGTTATTGCAAACATCATTTTTGAATAAATTATAAATTAGCTTCAGTATTTATTGATTTGTCGAAGATTTCGTATTTCCCTAAATTACCGTTATATGTTATGTGGGCGTGGTTATTATCCGAATTGAAAAATTTTCAGCCATTTGGTATGTTTTCTCAAGACCAACAATTGTGCCATGTTGGGCAAAAATTAGTGTATCGTTTACGATAATAGTTAAACGCATGTAATCATAAGTGACCGTGGCTACGCCTATTTTCCAAAATAGTTTAGTACTTTTATTTTCCACCTAAAAATCATTGGGAATATAAATTTTTACGGCTGTTTACTTGCTGCTACAAAGAACCTTTATGTGAACGAAGTTATAATACCCTTGTGCACAAGTGTAAAGCAAAACAATGTTAATTAGGACTGCCTGGAATCCCATGAAGTTTTCCATGTATTTTTTATGGGGGAAAAAACTCTTTGTTCGTACAAATAGTATAGAATTCTTGAAAATCAATATTTTTCGATCGAAAAACTTTCTTTCTCTTCAAGAGACTCAATTAATTTTCTTTACCGTTATTAATACTAGAGATTATTTAATACTAGCGATTTTTATGGGTCAATCCATTGCATATTTTGGGGATTTTGGAGGACGTGTAAAAAACAGTTAGTATTGAAGAATTGTTAAATTAACAATTGGGCACTATAATTGGAAGTTTCTCAAAGATAAACAGAGTTTTCCGATCGAAAAATATTGTTTTCAAGAATTCAATATCATTTCTAGGAAAAGGTGTTCCCGCCCTATATAAAATACATGAAAACTCCACGAGCTTTCAGACGGTTCTAAATGTAATTATACCTTTCATGAGCATGAAATGGTATTATAACTTTGGTCCGTGTTTTAAGTACCAGAACAAAAAGAGATAGACCCATTAAAATATACTTTTATGATCAGAACGTCGAGCTGAGTTGATTTATCCATGTCCGTCTGTCTGTCTGTCGTCTGTTTGTATGCAATCTAGTCTCTCAGTTTTCGAGATATCCGGATCAAATTTGGTAGGTGGGTGTATTTTTATAATGTATTAATCATTTGTCGGAACCGGAAGAATCGGACCACTATAACATATAGCTCCCATACAACTGATTTTCAGATATGAGATTTTCTTATAACTTCCCATTTATGCAGCTACGAACATGAATTTGCAACTTGCACCCATTATCAACAGAATCTTAAGTGAAAATTACAAAGATCGGGTCACTATAACCTATAGCTCCCATACAACTGATTGTTCAGATATAGAATTTTGCGTTATAATTCATCCATTTATGTAGCTAGGGCCATGACATTTCGCGCTGTTTTCACTCGCAGAAGACTTACAGTGAAAATAACGAAGATAGGGTCACTATAACCTGCAGCCCCCATACAACTGATTGTTCAGATATGAGGTCTTTTATCATATCTCCTCCATTTATGCAGCTAGGAACATGAAATTTCGCACCATTTTCACTCATTATTAACAGAATACTTACAGTGAAAATAACAAGGATCGGATGGCTACAACATATATCTTCCATACATCTGATTGTTCAGATATGTGATTTTACTGTAAAACTCCTTTATTTGAACAGCTAAAACCGATAAATTTCGTAAGATATTTTATAAATAATAATACAATGTCTACTGAGAAAATCGTCAAAATCTATGCTGTATAAGCTTTATCTCCTATAGCACTGATTGTTCAGATACCAGTTTTTGCGATATATCTCCTTTATGTAGGAAACTAAACCCAACAAATTGTGTTACCGGTTTACATACCGATCACATAGCAGTGAAAATGATTGGTGCCATATAAAGTGTATGTTCCATACCTCTGATTGTTTAGATGCGATTTTTTATATAAGTATGTAACTCCTCTATCGATGTATGCAGATGTATTCAAAAGCAGTAATCTGTCAAATAAAATTTGCAGATGTTCATGAAAGGTATGAAGCCTTCGGCATAGCCGAAGACGGCGCTGCTCTTACTTGTTTTTTTAATAAAAAAGATATATTTTTCCATTTACAAAAATCCTAAGCTTAACTTTTTATACCTTTTCTCCACGCATGCACATTAGGACCACCCTAACGTACATACAATGGACATAAATGTCGCTGCACATTAAAATTTGTACTTGTATATGTAAATATGTGCATGCTATATACAAACATATTTTTTTTAAAGTCGTACATAAGTACTTATGCATAGATCCATATATAAAATGATCTAGGTATGCAATGAGTTGTAAATCCTTGCATACATATTTTTTGTGTATTTGCTTCACGGCGGGCAATTTTTTGCTGTAGTTTTTGTGCGATGCGTACATACTTACAACCATTTGTGTTACACATTTCACTTAAGTGCTTTAATGGTTTAATGTATGTATTTTAGCTGGTAAAAAGGAGATACAACTCCTTTTTGTAACTTTTCTTGCATTCGTGTAAATGTTTGAGCTTTTTCGTTTGCATATTTTACTTTTTGGTACTTACGTTATGAAACCACGACATTTTGTATGGCTTTGGATTTGATTGTATGACGCATTCAAAGTAAACGTCATCGCCTTCCTTTATGTCATCTGGATTCAATGAAGAACCCATTTTGAGATGAGCTGTTGGCTGATCTATAAAAAAAGAAAAAAAATTGGTTCAATGATAGACAATCGTGGTTTTATTAATATTTTATATGAAATGATAATATACTGAAATCAAAAAGTAAAATAATATACGAGACTGTACTTATTTTCCATGAATAATAGTTCACAAAAATAGCATAGTAGGAAATTACAAGTTAACTTCCTGAGCTGAGCTGTTCATATATCGCGCCGAGAAGTTGGTGCATGCATAAGTTTCTCTAAAAAATAATATTATATAATGACGAAAGCATGCATTCTTTTGGAATTTATAGGAATTATTTTTTAAATGTTGATGAGTTTATCGGGCAATTGGTATTACGATATTCAGTTGAACAACAAGTAAAAGTGATCCAAGCGTTGATGCTGATAAAAAAATCATAATGAGCTATGAGACAAATTTGCACCTAAACGGTTTTTCTTCATGGCAGGATAACAACTTCTTTGGCCTGAATTATATACCATGGGCGTTCACTTTTCGATTCCAGAGTAGGGGAGACAGATAACATATAGTTATATTTAGTTATGGATATGTCTTACAGTTCCGATAAAATTATGCTGTTTCCCAAAATGAGCTTTATAAATTCCACCTACAACATTTTCATCCCCTTTAGGAGGAGGGACTAATCAATTGATTCAGGGTTGGACATTATTGAAATCTTTTTCCAATATCGACAAAAACGTCCGTCTATTCTTTGATGGCTAATACTTTTTCAATCTTTGATAAGTATGACTTCATTGGAGCGCGGTCTCCAAGGATTTTCCCTTATGGTAAGCATGTTGGTTCACAGAGGCTATCATTTTTTAGATTTCATCGTATGTTTTCATCTATGAGGCTTTGTAGAGTCTTTAGAAGAAATGAGGTGACGCTTATGGGGCTGAAATCTCTTTATTTCACACGAGCGGTCCTGTATCCTTTTGGTAAAAAACTTTCTTTGCAGAGGACATCCTACCCTGTCATTATATTCCCTACGGAGTTGTCTAGGTAAGAATGTATCTTAGGTCTTGGCGAAGCATTGGCTTTGTAGTCGGAGCCCCCAAGAAAGTAGATATTCACATAGATATCCTACATTTCGCTACAAGATAATGTCCAGTCATAATGAGTGCCTGGATAGAATTCATATTTGGAAAAATGTTTAAAAGAATTTGTTTGCAGAAGTTACGCCAATACTCGCTCTGGGACTTTTTATGCCTTCTTAAATATTCTGAAGGCTTACTTTTAAGGTTGCCAAAAATCTGTTCTCTTTTGCTTTTTTAAAGATCATCCTGCTGAGGTTTTTCTCCTAGCTTTCGGGTTAGAGATATATGCATGTAACAGAGGTTATCCCTTAATAAATTTTTAACGCGGAGTCTAGCTCTCTAAAAAGAAATAAACGAAGTGTTCGCTTCATAATTTTTAAACATAAGAAAGCATAAAAGTGTACCAGATGGAAATTCGCTTAAAAAAAATCATATAGCAACCCTGTTAGAAAAAACAGTAACTAAAAAGAAAAATTTTCAAGTACTTTGAATTAGTAGGATATGCATCTCAAGATTGCTCGTTATTCGTCTCCCACGGAAGGATAGGTTTCCCTGGAATATTTTAAAGATATTTATAAATTTGATGACTCTCCATAGCCGCGGCATCGGTTCTGCCTTCTCGTAGCTAGTTTAAGTGTCTCATTATGCTCATCCCGATGTATGTTACAGAAGCGTAAACGATCACATCATATGATGAAGTGGCTGTTGGTATGATCAAGAAAAAGTTTTTAAGGAAGATTTACGGGCCTTTCCATGTCTTAAGAGAGAACACAAATGCTTCATGTCCACGTCATCACCAACACGTAAATCGCGATGCTGCTGGCAGAGTAAGAGGAAGGCGTCGTTTTCGAATAAAATACCAGTTGGAGAAGGACTAGACTTCATATTGCATTTCCGCTTAGCTTCGGCTGGCACAGGGCCATACAAGAATATCTAAACATATTTTTGATTGCTTCGTTATAGCCAATAAATCACGTAATTAGTTTACGAAAAGTCACCTATTAAACAAGTCGATCCGCAAGTAAACTGAAACTATGGAGAAAATCGAACACCGTGCAGAGTTAAAATTCCTTACCAAGCAAGTAAAAAGTGCGCAAACTATTTTGAATGAATTTGAAGCCGTCTATGGTAAACATGGTACTGGTAAATCAATGATTTATAAATAGCATGGGGGCTATTTAAAAAAGGTCGGGGTCGATTGAAGACGACCACCGCTTAGGATGGCCCGTCGAGGTAACCACAACTGGCATCGTTGAAAAAGTTGAAAACTTGTATTGCTCATCGATTAAGGCCTGTATGCAGCTCTCAAGAAAAGCAAAAACTCCATATAAAATTACGTACAATAAATGGCTAAGAAATTATCTTGAGTCAAATTTCCTTAAGGCAGTACGCAGTTCTTAAGACATTTGCTACGCTTTCTACTACGGTTTTCTAAAGTTTTTTGTGAAAAAAGAGCACAAGGCAACCCAGGTTTGGAACAGAAATATATGCCCGTTCCATTATTTCTTGAGGAAAGAGTGAGGCAACAGGCTGTGAGGTATCAAAAATGTCAAAGTTCCTTGGACACACACGTGATATAATGGCAATTTTTTCTTGACCGTTTTCTTTAGAGCTGCATACAGGGCTTTATAAAGAAAAGGGTATCACCATACTCGGACGATACTATAACGCAACTATATCAGAAAAATGAAAGGAGGACATGAAGGAAAAATCTCGAGGAAAATTTACCAAGGGTGTGTTACCCTTGCAAGACAACGCACCGGTTCATAAAGGCAGAGTTGCAATGGCAGCTTTGCACAGGTATGGCTTCTAATCGTTGCCTCATCCACCTCCCAGTGGCTTTTATATGTCTTCAAATTAAACAAAAAAAGTGTTAAGAGGAAAGACGACGATGTGGTCAAGGAGGCAATTTTGGCACAATTTGAGGCGAAAGACAAAAAATGTTTTTTCGACGGTTTAAAAAAATTAATAAACCCAGCAAAAATTGTTGGGCCATGGGTTCCATTTGGAGAATACTTACAATATGCTCCTCTGTAATACATTAGCGGAGCAACTCTGGTCTCTACACCAATTTATTTTTACCCGATCATTGCACGTATTTTAACCTGCAGTGCAGAAAAGATTTGTATTCAAAGTAATTTTTGCATGAGGATATACATATGTATAAATGAATTGTTTAAAGAAAAAAACTCCCGACTTTACAACTCACTTTAAGTTGGTGCTTTCATTGCTTATTAATTGTGAGGTATTCATCGAAACCCCGAAAGAGGTACAAGCTGGTTATTTCTAACAATTACAAATTTTTCACTGCAGGGGAGTACCCTTTACATGCATGCATGAAGTAGTCGCGCTTTTTGCAGGAAATATATGCATATATTACGGTACAGCAACTGAAACGTTGAAAGCGTAACGTCACAGTTGGCAATAAAATCAAAGTGAAACTGCTGCTTAAGGGTATACAAAGCTCAGAGGCAAAATAGCGCAGTGCATAATTATTGCTACAACTGTACGTACTAGTATGCCCTTGTGTTCATATGTATGGAAGTACATACTCACATTCATACATGCAACATTTTACATAAACACTTGGTAAAGAAAATTAGGTTTGCCTCAACTGAGGTGATATTAAAGTAAATTGTCAGCGGTTAGGCAATGAGTGGAATAGTCTGTAGTGAAATATAAAAATAGATGGTCTGTCCATTTCACCGAGTTTTACCGCTGTTTTTGTTTTTTGTGGTAAGCTTGGTTGATGAAAGCATCAACGGCCGACAATGTTAAACGTTACTCCTCTACATATATGTATGCATATATTCTATTTGGTGGGAGAGAAATAGAGAGAGAGAGAAAGAAACTAAATACTTTATGACCAAAAAAGCTTGCAGACCTACCCACAATATCATTGAATGAATATTTATGTATGCCTTTCATAAATTTCCACGCAACACCCTGAGTAGCTAAGGTCAGCATAGCAAAATATGCTTTTTCTCTTTCGCATTTTACATTCCCCCCCCCCCTTCAATGTGGGCAGCTTGCCAACATCCGAGCAATGCAAATGGGCTATTTATTTTTATTACATACAAACTTGGCCAATTTTATTTCTAATCAGNTCAACTGAGGTGATATTAAAGTAAATTGTCAGCGGTTAGGCAATGAGTGGAATAGTCTGTAGTGAAATATAAAAATAGATGGTCTGTCCATTTCACCGAGTTTTACCGCTGTTTTTGTTTTTTGTGGTAAGCTTGGTTGATGAAAGCATCAACGGCCGACAATGTTAAACGTTACTCCTCTACATATATGTATGCATATATTCTATTTGGTGGGAGAGAAATAGAGAGAGAGAGAAAGAAACTAAATACTTTATGACCAAAAAAGCTTGCAGACCTACCCACAATATCATTGAATGAATATTTATGTATGCCTTTCATAAATTTCCACGCAACACCCTGAGTAGCTAAGGTCAGCATAGCAAAATATGCTTTTTCTCTTTCGCATTTTACATTCCCCCCCCCTCCTTCAATGTGGCAGCTTGCCAACATCCGAGCAATGCAAATGGGCTATTTATTTTTATTACATACAAACTTGGCCAATTTTATTTCTAATCACAACCTATACCAGCAAAAAGGAAAATAATAATAACAACAAAAGCCAAGGGGAATTAACAAAAGCACGACAAGTAACAGAAAATGCCATCCAAGCATTTACGGAGTTCAGCAATTGAATTAAATTGAATGTAAGTATCAAAGGACATTCCGAACACTGGCCTTTTGATATTCGGTATTTGTGTTTTTGTGGTTTTTGTATATTTGTGTCTAGAATACACCATTTGTTTGTATATAATTGTGTGTATGCATGTATGTACGTGCGAATGCGTAGGCAAGTCAAATTATGCGTACTAAGTGTATACGTTAGGGTGAACCAAAAAAAGGTAGAGTCAGAATTTTATTGCTTTAATCCTCTTGGATTACTCAATGCT